CCACAGCGCTCCAGAGCCCCCCACTCTACCTGGCAAGGCGGAGCGCTGCTCCCCGCAGCCCAAGCCGCGACCCCCACACGCGGCCAGCCGCCGCCGGCAGCATAGCTCCGCAGGCGGGAAGGTCACACGCGGATCTGTACGGAAGCGGCGCTCTAGCCGGGAGCAGGCGAGCTGACCGAGCCGCTCTAGCCGCGAGGCCTCCAAGCATTAGAGCTGAGGCTGGCAGCTCTAGGCTGGGTCGGCGCCTGATATTACGCACTAGGCTGCGCGACGCGCAGGCGCCGTCCGGCCCCGGAAGTAATGTTGGGCTACCGATTTCTACGAAAGCCCGGTAGGGCAGTCCTTTGTGTTGCCGCCGGAATGCGCCAGCGACCCCTACGTAAGGAGCCCGTCGCGTTGACCCTTTAATTCAGCTCAGACGTCCAAGAGATTAACGCTACAATCCAGGGATCCAGTGCCCCAAGCCTAAACGAAGGGCCCAATCCATTGTTCTAGAAGCCTGTAACGCTTTCCCCAGCGTGCAGAGCGCATACCTGTTCCCCCTGGTTTGAATGCACAGCCAAAGCAAACGCTTAGCTGGAAGGGAAAGCTCGACAATTACGGCTTGGATGTCCTCACCAGAAACCAGGCTGAAATGTGTTTTCCAGGGTGAAATATTGGAACTGAAACCGTAAGCAGTGGTTTGCTCCACTGAGGCTGTAAAAGCCCATCTTTGCACCCTTTTTCAACTGCTGGGTGATACTCTGTGCCACGGGAGTCGATACAGAGTGCCCAACAGCAAGAAGACCATCCAAGGCTTCTCACCCAGTACCCCCCAAACTCCAGGACTGATGCAGATTATTGCAATGAAGAGTACCCTCATACTCTGGTCCAAAACCGAGCTAGCTGCCGCACCAAACACTCACGACAGCTTTTGAAATACACTTTATTATCACTGTTCTGCACTGGAGATGACAACGGAGGAGTAGGGAAGCTAGACATGCCTGACGACTCCACCCGCACTGTGCAGGAGCCACACGGTTCTTCCAGGGCACCAGAGCCATGCCTGGACACCACAGTTCACATCAGACTCTGGGACAGCAGTCGCCTGTGGCAGGCCCCACACAGCAGCACTCCCCAGAGGAGGTCCTACCTGCCCTGCAGAGTCCCAGCCCTGGGGAAGGCAGACTGCATCAGGATCAAAGCAGGGAGCCAGTGACAAGGAGCCAGACCACTGAGGACAGGGACGAGGGCCAAGGGAGAAGGCCCACCCCTTGCTCACAGGAGAAGGGACACTACAGGGCAGTCATAGGGAGGAAATGGCTAGTTAGACACATGGGTGGTTCCTGGTGAACCGTAGTGTTACTCTGGGTGGTGAGTACTGGACTCAAGGTCAGTCGAATGAGATGAGCTGGGCTTCACTGCCTGGGGCTGGCGGTCCCTGTGTAGGTGGTGGCTGGGCCACAGGGGGCTGCTGCTGGGGAGGGCCAGTGGCAGGTGGCATCTGGAGAGGAAGAGCAGACAATCACCATCACCCTTCTTTCCACACACAAGAGCTTCTGTTTACAGCAAGCTTCATTGCAGCACAGAGTAACCCACAGTGCCAAGGCACTCAAGAGGCTGGTGTAAGTCTGTCTTTGCTTTGCAAGCACATGCACATACGGGTTTGCACTGACTTGCATGTCCTCATTCTGATGAATGAGAAAGGCCCCTGGGTATAAACCTAGTGCAAGGGTTCGAGGGTCAGGGAAGAGGCCTGAAGATGGCTCACCTGCTGGTACATGGGCTGTTGCCCTGCGATGTAGGCCTGCTGGGCTGGCAGAGATGCGTCCTGGCCTGGAAGGGTGGTCATGAGATTCTGTGGAGAGTAAGATTGAGCCCAACACTTAGTAGTCTGTGACCAGAAGGACACAGACCCTTCTGCTTGAAGAAAGAAAAATTGAGGGTCCTAGAGGGGAGGACGTGTCCTCTGCTAACCCATCTTATGCCCAGCAGAGACTAGGTCTCTTTACCTGCATGTTATACGGCTGGTAGCCCATGGACATTGGCTGGCTCCCCATGTAGCCTATGGTGCTGGTCTGTGGAGGCTGGGAGATGGCTGGGAGGCTCTGCGGGGCCTGAGAAGCCACAGTCTATGGAAGGAAGGAGGGAAGTGAGGGAACAGGCAAGGTCTGGGAGCAGAGGAGAGGGGGTGACCTTGCCCACATACCTGGTAGGCTGGGGTTGGAGTGGGTTGGTAGGAGGAGTAGGCAGGGCTGGTGGTGGGCCCAGCCTGGGCCTGTGGGGCTGCCTGTGCAGCAGGGGCGCCTGCCGGGTACATGTAGGCGCTGACCATGCTGGGATCTGTGACAGGAAAGATGAGTTGCTTTAGGTCAGGAAGGACGAGTGGGGAGACAATGCCCTCTCCTGGGGTTTTCCTTTTGTTGTGACTTTTAGAACCAAGTACATGTTTCACTTCTTATAAAAGGTAGGTAAAGCCAACAAGGGGAAGTAGGTCCTAAAAGAAAACTAAAGCAGAAAAAAAAATGACCCTAATTACTTTTGTTTTTGTAGCACCGGGGGCTGAAACCAGGGGCTTGAACATGATAGGAGGTGCTCTACCTGAACCACACCCCCACCCTTCAAACTGCATTGAAACACGGGGCAGTCGCAGTGAAGGGAAGGGGCCAGGGAGAGCTGACATGAGATTCCTGGAGCTCATAACTGGGAGTTTCACAATTCAGATGAGAGGAATAAAGACAAACACCTTCTTCTACAATAGCCCAGGCTAATATTCCAGGAAAGACTACGTGTGACAGAAATGAACCAATATACAGGGGAAACGAAGGACACCCCAAGCTGTCAGGATGAGAAGAACTAGAGTGAACTAGTGTGCACGCCACACATAAACACTCTACGAGATCCTCTGTGACCTAGAAACTGTCAACACATCCTAGGAATTCATGCCTTCACTGTTTGTGTGGAACACAGGTCTTAAACTTGGGAGTCTTCCTGCCTCAACCTCTCAAGTGTTGGATTGTAGCTGCACATACCATACGCAGCCTAAGATACTGCTTCTAATGGCTGTCCCCACAAAGAGGAAGCAGAATCCCAGAGATCTGAAGAATGGACAAGCCAAGCAGCGTACCAAGCTTCCCTGGTCAGAGAGTGACAGGCCAGTCAAAGTTACAGAAGTGGCTGGCAGACTCACATGGGTCCTACCAACAATAATATGTGCATTAAAGTCAAAAGAAACGGGGACAGAGAGATGGCTCAGTAATTAAAAGAGCACACTCTTCTTTTATTTGTTTGGTTTTTCCACACAGGGTTTCTCTGTGTAGCCTGTCCTGGAACTCAGATATGTGCCTCCTCTGCCTCCCAAGGGCTGGGATTAAAAGTGTGCACCACCACCGCTCACAGCACACTCCTCTTATAGAGGATTCAAGTTTAGATCTTAGCTCCCATGTCAGGTGGCTCACAATCTCCTCTAGCTACCCTCTGTGACCCCTGAAGGTTCCTGCACTTACATGCACATACTCAGACAGAAACACAGAAAACATATACAGAATGAAAAACATGACACCATGTCACACACTTTAATTCCAGCACACAGAAGGCAGAGGCAGGGGGACCTCTGACTCGAGGCCAGCCAGGCCTACATAGTGAAACCCTATCTCAGAAAATAAATAATGGGGCAGTGGTGGCACATGCCTTTAATCCCAGCACTCGGGAGGCATAGGCAGGAGGATCTCTGTGAGTTGGAGGCCAGCCTGATCTACAGAGAATTCCAGGATAGCCAGGGCTGTTACACAGAGAAACTTTTCTTGAAAAACCAAATAAACAAATAAATAATAAAAAAATAAATTAAAACAGTCTTTAAACAAGCAACAACCCCTCTGAGAATGGAGAGCTAGCCAGTGGCTAAGAGCTCTTTTTGCTCTTGCAGAGGACACAGATTTGATTCCTAGAAACCACATGGTAGATGGCTCACAATCATTGGAAACTCCAGTTCCAAGGTGTCTTTTGACCTCTGTGGGCAAACCAGGACAAATGGTGCACAGACAGATGTAGGCAAAACACACATAAAAAGTAAAAATCTTAAAATGAAATCTGTAGGTGCAGTGGTGGTGCACACCTTTAATCCTAGCACTCGGGAGGCAGAGACAGACAGATCTCTGTGAATTCAAGGCCAGCCTGGTCTACAGAGTGAGTTCCAGGACAGCCAAGGCTACACAGAGAAAGTTCACACCTACATAAATGACAAGAGCAGAAAAGGGCAAGTACCTCCTTCCAGAGGAAGGATGATGGCTAAGAGAAAGGCACTACTTGGCAAACAGAAGTTCAAGAAAAACTTAGAAGATGCAGGAGTCTGAGACCAGGGCACTTCCAGTCTCAAGGTCTTTTCTAAAATGGTACCTGTCGATAATGGAAACAGATGAGATGACCGTGGAACCCGTCTCAGTCACACAGAAGTGATGAGATGCCTGCTGAGCCCACCTCAGTTAGCAGGGATCCAAGCAATGCAGTGTACCTCACATGCCAAAGTTCCATCTTGTGCCTTTCTGACTAAAGGTGTGGTCCACGGCACCAGCAAGTACTAACACCAGACAAACCAAATTGAAGGCAACTTGCCAACTACAGGACCGTGCTCATGAGGGGCTCAAGTCAGGACCATGTGGCACAAACTGAATGGGCAATGTTTGGAAGAGAACAAGGTACAACAGCCTAACTGACAGCAACAAGGGGATTTTCTGTTAGCACAGACGTCTTCCCTGGGCAGTGTGTGAAAATGACCTCTTGCTGTGATCCAATGTCTCCCACCTGTGAGCACATCCTGACTTTAGGAAATGCATTGTGGGTGAAGGGCCTTCACCTGCCCCTCACTCTAGAACAGATCAGGAAAGGGGTTGTGTGTATATATGAACATGTGTTTCCATAAGGACAGGAAAAAACAACTGTAGAAAAATATTCACTTAAAGAATTTGGACAACGCTTTGTCACGACCTTCTGTAAGCTGGCAAGGTTACCTGCTGTGCTGCCAGGCATGCTGGGGTAGGGGCCAGTGGCTGGGGCTGGCTGGCTCATATACACACCATGCATTGGGGAGCCCTCTACTGAGCCTGCTGGGCTGAAGGTGCCAGGAAAGCTGGTTGGGCCTGAGGGCTGGTAGAGCACACCCCCAGCTGTGGGCATAGCCTGGAGCTAGAAACAAAGAAGAGCCAACAGTCAGAGGCGTTGTCTTCGGCCCAGGAGGGGCAAGGTGGGGTGGGCAGCACATGCCTGGGCATAAGGCAAAGGGAAGGCAGGCATCTGGGCGCGCATTTGGACAGTCTGCTTCTGTTGCTCCAGGCGCATCTGCCGCTCCTTCTCCTGCTCCTGCAGGCGCTGGATAGCCAACTGCCTCTGCACCTCCAGGTACTCCTGCAGCAACAGACAGGAGGCCGTCAGGCCAGTCTAGGCCTCCCCTACCCATATGCCAGGTCAGGTGCCACACCTGCTTCTTCTGCCTCATGATCTCCAGCTTCTGGGCCAGTTGGATCTGACGCTGGCGCTCAGCCTCCTCGGCTGCCCGGCGCAGTTTCTCCCGGTGTTCCTCACGCAGGGCACTCAGAGCTCCCCGAGCATCACGGATCTGTGCCAGCTTGTCCTGAAGTCCCTCATAGTACACTGTGTGCAGAGAACAGGGCAGCTCAACTCCCTCACAGCCTGGAGGCCTAGTTGGTATGGGTTTCTGTTCTGCTTGGTCAGGGCTGTAGATAGAAAGGAGCAGAGCAGACCCCACCAGTGGGACCACCTCCCAAGAGCTTTAGTGGAGCCCAGGGTCTCACAAAACCCCAGGAACAATTAACCACCGGGCGGGGCTCACGAGCCTACTGCCTGTGGGAGCTGAAGCAGCCCCTGCAGGGCACCTGGACACCTACACCTGCGTTCATCCAGCTGGTTGAGCAGCTCAAGTAGCTGCGGGTGCATGCTGTTGATGGACTGGAAGAGTGACAGCACAGCTGAGTCATTGGTGATGCTGC